CGTGGATTTATCTCAGAAAGTCAATTACCAGCCACGGGAAAAGGTTTTCAATCAAGGGACATGTTAACCATATACAAGAGGATTTGACTAAGAAGCCGGAGTCCATCACTGAAGAAACCTACAACAGCTCACATGTACACATTGTCGTAAAAGTTATCTTGTTCTATGCAATACCCCTTACTCTGGGGGTTTGTGTAGAAATATCACATTATACATATTACTGGCCCCACTACCAGGCCACGCTGTGACCGCAAGCCCCATTTTAAAGACAGGATAAGGTACCCAACTTTTACGACAACGTAGTCCGTACTGTGGACATCAGAATCACTTTCAAACACGGACCCAGTTCAAACATGGTTCAAACACGAATGTCTTTCTTTCTGAGATGACTTTAATGATGTTGCATATTTTCATGATGAGCAACTTCTCCTTTGTCAACAATCCCCCCCCCCCTTCCTTCTTCTTCTCGGGTCATCACACCACTCCCTCCCAGTATTGAGCACAGGATCTCGCTCGGGGGTTGAACTTCTCTAGGTCCTCGTGGGTGCAGGGTTCTGGCAGGTGGGGGCAGACCAGCAGGTGGTCCATGGACTGTTCAGCCCCACAGTCACATGCGGTTTCACCATCCTCATTATATCTCCATTTCTGCATCAGGGCTTTGCAGCGTCCGGTCCCTGTCCTCAGACGGTTAAGACATGACCAGGTGGGCCATTTCTCACTTGAGCCTGCTGTTAGGGATTCCTTGGGGCTGAAGGAGAGCTTGTGTGGGCTTGTCTGGAGGTGATCAGACCAGAGGTTTAGTCGGCGGTTACAGGCACTACCATCAAGTGGATCAACAGAGTGAAGGAAGCTGTGCCTTGATTTCAGTCTCTTCATTCAAACAATGAGCACACGACACCCCACCACACCACCCCTCTTTACGTCTACGTGGAAAACAAAGTCAAATGGGACACAAGAATGCACTTCATGGATTGATTACAAACATTACATAACACGGACCTTTAGGAGATCCAGCATACACTTGCCTTTTACTGCATGTGTGACATGAACTGGCAAATTAATATGAATTCCGATTTAAAGAGGAAATATGGGCTTCACTATTTATTACCAAACTCAATGAAGCATCTGTCCCCTTTCTGTGGGAGTCCTCGGACGCGTGCTGCCCGGGCCCAGGCATACGGAATTGAATGCTCCAGGAGGAAAACGTGTCGTGTGCTCATTGTTTGAATTTGCTTGATCTGAATTTGAAATTGTCGGACAATAGACGAATTTAAACAAATTAACAGCACTTAAGCGATATTAATGGACGAATTTGATAATTAGAAACTGCTCGAATAATCATAACGTTGTAAAATCGCCAGGAAAACCTATAATAAAACTATATTAAAACGAGACAAAAGTCCACTTCTTGAATTAATTTCAATACAAATGCACATACTTATTAATGTGACCATATCGAAACAAAGTTTAGTTCAAACTATCAATTAACGTTGATATGACTACCATTATTCTAGGCGCATTTTAAGATAATACAAAATTTTGAAAACAAAGTCAAATGGGACAAAATAATGCACTTCATGGATTGATTAAAATTCATCACATAACACGGACCTCTAGGCGATCCAGCATACACTTGCCTTTTACTGCATGTGACATGAACTGGCAAATTAATATGAATTCCAATTGTTTAAAAGAGGAAATATGGGCTTCACTATTTTATGACCATTGAAACTCAATGAAGCATCAGGTTTTGTTCCCTACTGAAGAATGATTTACGTATCATGATCAATTTCTGGAAGGTCGATCCCCTTACTGTGGGAGTCCTCGGACGCGTGCTGCCCGGGCCCAGGCATACATTGTGTAGGCAGATCTCCATCGAAGAGTTCGGGAGTACGGTTCGGCGGTTGGTTGCGCCGTTGTAACTTTTGTGGCGTCGCTGTCTGGCTTCGGCATTTTGCCGCTGAGCATCTGCAGTTGCAGTTTTGACGCGATTTGTTTTGTCGCAGCTTGCCACCTATAGGCTATAGGACGGTCCATGGCGAGATTTTCCCAGTCGTTGATCGAAATGCTGGCGGCACTGAGGTGGCGTTTGATGACGTCCTTGTAGCTTCGGCCTGCAGCCGAGCCGCTTGGGAAAATCCGGGAGCTCGCCACGGAGAGGAGGATTTTCGGCAGTCTGTGCTCCTCAATGCGCACGACATACCCCGTCCAGCGGAGCTGCATATCCAGCAACGACATGTCCGCTTAACGCAGCGCACTTTGTCATTGGTACCCCGCGCGATCCCGCAGGAAATGTTGAGAATAGACCGGAGGTGGCGCCGCTGAATGGTCCGTATTGGTTCTCGAGGCTGCATGCCAGTAAATCGATCCGAAATATACGCCGGCCAAATCACGATTTGCATGCCCTCAAATTCTTCAATATCTCAGCATATTGTTGGCCATGAATTTGAGGGTTTGTAAACTGAAAAAAATATCGGTGGAAGCCGTGCACAGGAAGGTAAGCTTGTGTTTCTGTGGAACTTGGATGAAATTGGGGCCATATTTTTTTTCCAATGGAGTGTATAGGCACTGCTTTTCAAAATGGCGATGGGCTTCAGGACTATTTAAAGGGGTGATCATCTTCGGATGGAAATTTCTCCTAACAGTCATCAGATTAGGCTACCAGAAAAAAAAAATTGAAAAAGAAAATGAAAGATGATGTAAGGTAAGCTTTAAGGTACCTTTAGACTGCGAAACTGAGAGCCATGCGTTTTGGCGCCGACAGGCCTTGCTATGGGATTTACTGCACACAACCTATACTAGTGGCATCATGTAATACATCTGACCTTTACTCTAAAAGTTTCCAGTCTACAACTTTGCCAATTTACCAGCCTGTTGGCCTATTCATCAGCTTTCCAACAAGCTATAGTTTGTCCAGAACCATAAGGTACCTTTAGACTGCGATACATGAGAGCCATGCGGGTTGGCGCTGACAGGCCTTGCTATGGGATTTACTGCATAAAAACGAAACTAGTGGCATCATGTACTACATCTGACGTTTACTCCAAAAGTTTCAATTCTGAAACCTTGGCGATTTGCCAGCTTGTTTGCCTATTCATCAGCTTTCCAACAAGATAAGTTGTCCACAACCATTTATGTTGGTACCTTATTAAGACTGCAATACAAGAGAGCCATGCGGGTTGGCGCTGACAGGCCTTGCTATGTGATTTGCTGCACAAAAACGAAACTATTGGCATCATGTAGTAGCCTACATATGACGTTGACTCCAAAAGTTTCAATTCTGAAACCTTGGCGATTTGCCAGCTTGTTTGCCTAGTCATCAGCTTTCCAACAAGCTATAGTTTGTCCAGAATCATTTATGCTAAGGTGTCTTTAGAATGCGATACATGAGAGCCATGCGGGTTGGCGCTGACAGCGCGCATGACCTTGTCAAGTTATACCAACGCTCTTGTACCAGACGTTGCAAACTGTTAAATAACCCGACATTCCTGAAGAGATGTAGAGATGCAAACGTGGTCCCAAAGACTCTCCGCCTACGAGACCCTATCAAAGGAAACAATTCTGCTCAAATCATACACACTGCCAATAAAGCCCTACTCCGATCACAAATTATGCCTCCACCAGATGTTGCCTATACCGAAGCGATTAAGACATAAAGAGAAGCAGGGATAGTCTCCGCACGACTATGGACAAAACTGATTATGATAAGATATCCGCCCTCACGGATAAATCTGTATCCCACACATTTCATGCCACCCAAAGGAAACAGATCCGAAAATTCCAACGCCTCACTTCTTTTAACAAGAAGAGAATGGACTAGAGCCTCACGCAACACGTCCAAAGGGAACAATGATGACATGGAGAAAACGAACTCAGTCGTAAACCTCAGCCAACGCCAGCTATCTAAAACGGGAATCAAATGTCTTAGCCTTGTGTATGAATTTTGCTACTACCCCTAGCAAGATATCCCGGTGGAGGAGTTCATTCAATCGATTGAACCTTCTATCCGCAAGATGGAAAAAGAAAAGGCAGACAATATCCGTGGTACCCATCTTCCAAATGGGGGCGCCCTTCAAAACTGACCATTATTATGTATACTATATTAATATATATACAATTTCACGGCGCATTGTAATGGTTATGTTGAGCGGGTTTTCTTTGGTGGGATTGATGTCAGAAGAACTCTATAAACACTTCAAATCATTGATGACAACAACAAATTGTCAAAAAAATTGTCACCAAAAAGTCCGCAGGGTGGGGGGGGGGGGGGCAAAGTGCCCCCTGCCCCCCCCCCCCCCCCCCCCCCACTGGATACGCCACTGTACTCTCCTTGAATCGTAGCACAGCCTTACCGACTTCATTATACAGGCATCTTCGCTCATCCAGCTCGAAATGCCCACGATTCTTTGGCCATAAAACCGCTCCGACCCATTGTGTCGTCAACTTGCATTGGTTCCCCAACCTCCACTGTCAATAACAGAGCATTTTTGTTGCTGCACATGTGTTGCTGCACATGTTATGCTGCACATGTGTTGCTGCACATGTTATGCTGCACATGTGTTGCTGCACATGTGTTGCTGCACATGTGTTGCTGCACATGTGTTGCTGCACATGTGTTGCTGCACATGTGTTGCTGCACATGTGTTGCTGCACATGTGTTGCTGCACATGTGTTGCTGCACATGTGTTGCTGCACATGTGTTGCTGCACATGTGTTGCTGCACATGTGTTGCTGCACATGTGTTGCTGCACATGTAACTGGAAAAAGAACAGTGGGTAGACTTTTTCCGTTCTGCATTAAGCTTAATATTTACAACCAAGCCGTTGTGCTAGCGAGAATAGAACATGTCACACTTCAAATTGATCTTGGTAGCTGAACTAGAACAATTAATATTGTCCCAAATAATTATCATTGAATTATCATTGAATTGCCTATTATATACTTATTTAGAAAGTCACCGACTCTGTATTCAGAATAAAACGCCAGAAAAACCATTGCAGTTAAACTTTCCTAAACAATCATTTATATACTCTCTTTTACAATTTTTTAATACAAACTTCAATGGCTTTATATAAAATATTAATAGAAATATTATTTGTACAAACATGTAATACGAAAATACAATATGCTATACTTAGACAAGTCTATTATACAGGCAGCATGAAAACCTGTCCTACTAAATAATTAGTTGACAAAAAAATATCAGTGAAAGCTTTCTTTGTTTGTTTGGTGACCATTATACCAAAGATACACCCCGCCCAGCCGCAGGAAGAATTGGTATACAAAACTGAAAGGCAAATTGAACAGACTCTTCACAGCTCAGGCCAAGTGAATTGCGACGAGCACTTTTACCCTTGATTTTTGGAGAGGGCGCTATTGAAATATTCATCAAGTGCGAAGTCATGAGTAATTCATACTTATTATTCAATTTAAATTTCTTGAAACAACATACCAGAATATAGAACGGCATGGCTAAATAATTATTCTGTCTGCAAAGACTGTGGGGTGGAGGACATCGGCTGGTTCCCATCTTCAGGCCATCTGATGTCCATGTTCCATGTAGCAAGGCTCCTGACCCGTCTCCGGACCCTTCTTTATGATCTGCTTCCCGCTGTCCACGGATACGGTATCCGAGTCGGTCGTTTGATTTCTGTGTCATAAATAAACCAAATGATGGGAAAGTTAGGCGAGTCCTCAAATTAGAATCCCTCCCCGGACCGTTCGGGGTTGAGCCCGCCCAGTATGTTGAAGGGATTGGGACCTTGCGTGGAACCGATCGGCCTGGATTAACTCCACCAGGCTTCTGCACCATGGCTCTGGCTCATCACAAAGGAACCAATTTGCGATGCGCTAATCCTCCAGTAGGCAACAATGACTGTGATGAGCTTCATAGAAGTTGCCGCTGGTAATCCGAGCAGGCCGAATAATTCTCCAACAATGGCCAGACTTCAATTTATGTTGCCTATTGTGAAACCCTGAGTCACCAGTTTGGACCGATTGGGGCGTCACGCTTCAGTGACCGGGTGGCTTCTGGCTTCGTACCGATTGGGGTGAAAGAAATTAGCATACCGGACCCGGTACCCGAACGGTCTGTTATCTGATGGCTCGCCTTAAATAACAACATAATATTTCTTGTCTTTTCAATATCACCGGACTATCAGTCGATAACCATTCGGTGTATCAACGATCAGCACAAATGGAAACGTACTTCTTTTGTTCTTATTTGTACTGTTGAAGATAATCTGGTACCAATACACTAACACACACATTAAATCAACAGATGTTTTGGTGTTATTGGGATTTTTTTCTGTTAGAGGCGACTCATTTCCGTAGGCGAGTTATTGTGAAGCTGTTTTGATTCATAGTTCAGTGGTAATTTTTGTCTGTGAAAAAGAAACCCTGACGACGCTTTACCACCCTTATAATGTATACATAGTTATGCATATATTTCAAAGAACCAAATCAACACGCCACTGTGATGACTGCAGGGTGAAGCCTTTGGGCGCTCTGTCGCGTTTTGTTTTTACCTTTCTGCTTGTCCTAATGATGATTGAAAATCACATGAACATTTCAATATGCTGATGATAATTTGGAGGTTATTGTGTAGGGGAAACCTCAACCTTGTATCAGGGCTTACTTTATTTCAACCTCCTTTCCAACAGTAAGTCCTGGGATGGGAACTTGCTTCCTGTATCCTGATTAGATAGCGCAATTAGTAGCCAATGGATTTATATTTGCAACGTGTATTACGTGTTTTCATGTTCAGTGTAATTTCTAAAATTTCCTCCTTCTCAAAGATGATAATTTTCTGTCCAATCTGATAATATTAATATGAAAAGGGATACTGCATATTGGCTGGATACAAAATTGTAACATTTGAACTATGAAAAACAAAAAGTGTTTTCGTAACTCAAGCCGCGACGAATTGATTCTGTTTTTACCTCAGACACAATAAACAAAAACAAGCGCTGATGTAAAGCACACGCGGGCAACAGACTATTCCTTATTTGCATACGTATCCCCCAAAAATGGATATGCAAATGATCCAATACCAGTGTGAGAGAGCAGGTAGTGGTGGGAGCGTACTGCTCGACATCATGGGAACGAGGTTGGGGGAAACCTGTCTTCCATTTTCCCCTAGAACTATTCGTGACATGGCGACTCACCTTCTTCGGTACAAGAAAATCCCGGTGAACACCAGTATCGCTACAATTATTATTACACTGCAAACCGCAGCGATAATGATGGCCGTCGGCAGCTGTTGGTTACCAGCGACGTCCTCGGGGCTACCAGGGTTGTCGTCTCCTGAAAATAAATTGATTACATTGATTATTTTTTCCCCAAATAGATCGACACCATGTCTCATTCACAAACCCGAAATGCCTTTGTTGTCGTTGTTGTTGTTGTTGTTGTTGTTGTTGTTGTTGTATTTATGACATCATTTACTATTGTCATTATTTTGATGATATGAAATCGATATCAGACTGTTCCATATGTAATAAGTATGGTGATGTCTAAAAACAATTACAAAATTTTATCCACAGCGTTTATTGATTAACTAATTGTAAAACGCAAATGAAACGTTTCTTCTGAATAAATACGCTTCCCCCGAGGAAACAACAACAACAACATAATTATGGTCAAACATTGAGTCACTCGGAAGACCCATTAGGCTAGGTTATTGGAGTAACGTGCAGGCCCGGATTACGCAATAGGCATAGTAGGCACTGTGCCTCGGGCCTACGGAAAAAAATGGGGGCCTATGAAAAATTTGGGGGCCTACGAAAACTTGGGGGAAGGCCTACGAAACTACCGCAGTGTGCCATAAAACACATAGGCCTACCCACACACACACGCGCAGAGAAAAGTTTTTAGAAAGGTTTTAGGGTCTCTCTCAGAGAGCTAGGACCTATACCAGTTTGGCCTGGCTTGATTTGCACAGCCCCCCCCCCCTCAACAAAAAGTGTGTTCTGGATCCGTCCTTGTACCCCCACCCCAAATAGGCCTAATCTATAGCCACAGATTTTTATAATTTTTTTTTTTAGACAGGGACATTTTCCGGTTCTTATTACATGATTTTCCTAGTGTATCCAACTTCAGGCGTTGATTACTCATAACATGGTTTTGGGCGAAATTCCTCATTTTGTCACAATAGGTCACAAAATAATGTGCCCCCTCGAGATGAAAATGAAACTGTCTTGAAGCGCACACGAAAGCATTATGATTGCGTTTAAAAATGATCCCTCTCTTGTAATGCAAATGTGCCCCTCAAAAACACAAACACCCCTCGCGCATTAACAAGATTGTGAACCTTCTCGAGATGGAAAACTATCCCTCGAAAACACGAATGACCCCTCTCGCAATAAAACAAAATATGCCCCTCTCAAAATGGAAAACTGTCCCGCAAAGAAATAATAGTGCTCCTTTATACGCTTTTAAAATGTAATGCAAACATTTTTAAAAGTGTATGTAAATGTTGGTTGTAAATTTTACTCTGGGTAACATGTATTCCTTGCAATGCAAATGAAAACAGTTTCACAATTTTCTCCTCTTTGACTGAAGGAAATGTTTTATCTGAGAAAATGGCTCTGTTTGGTGATGCCCTCAGTTATAAAAACGTTCTGCCGCCGCCGATTGGCGTATTACATGTGCAGGTGTTAGTAAAAATTATACTCGCTTGTACACAATACGACCCCAATTTAGATCGTTCAGTCGCCAAAGGTTCATGGATTTGCTTTGTTTCATCTCAAAGGCCTTTTCGTGATCGTAGACTTGAGTCAAGGCGTATGGCAACCCGGACTCGAAAAAAAAGACCATGCGAGTGGCAGGCTTGTTGGCTCCGTTCGCCGTCATTAGGGGCGTAATTCCCGGGGTGGGGTTGGGGTGGGGGTATACCCCCACACTTTTTGACCGCGGGGATGGGCTATTGAATTACCCCCACTTTTTTGTCATGAGAAACTGAAATGTATTTAGTAGCAGAGAAAGTGGAGAAACAAAGTACAAAAGCTTTCAAAAATGTAAGCGCGAGTATACATAAATGGTAATGAATTTTCCCAAGCTAGCTAAGGGAGCTGAATTAGAATCAGACAAACAAAATTCCCTTGTAAACAAAAATTGTAAATGGGTCAGTAGTTTGATATAAATTTAATGAGGTGGGGGAAACTTGCTAGAAATCATCTCAATGATAGCGACATATCAGCGTCGGCCGAAAGACGCGCGACGCGAAACAATCATCGATGAGACAGAATAAGGACGAGCATGGTGAGGTTAATTGCTCGTAGTGACTCTGAATAGTCAACTGCTCGGTACATAAGAATGATTGTAGAAAAGAGTTACGTAACAGCATTCATGTGTATAGCACGATGCTGATGCATCTTTCGCGCAGCTATGAAACACAGAGTAAGTCTCCCACTGTGGAATTAAGGATTATGTTTTTAAACGCAAAGAGAAAAGCACCTACTGAAACAGCATAGTTGTTAAGCTGTCTGACAGCGGACCCAGGGTTAGGGGTTCGAAACCGCATGGTGTCATTTTTTTGGTTTTCGTTGACCGCAGTTCTGTCATTGAAGAGTATTTATTTCCCGTGGTCATTTACCAACAGCAGTTAGCTCGGTCGGTCGGTCGGTAAGCTGACTCACAAGTTGGGACTGTCTGGGAAGTCCAGGTTGGCATCTGCGTATAGGTACGGGGTTCTTTTGCTGACTCGGCAGCAAGGCTTAGGGTGCCACCTCGTTTCCTCCCTTTATGGTGCCTGACTTTCGAGTTACATGGATGGACAGGGAAGGAGGTGTGGTGGGCCGGGTACCGAGTCCCAGAAGAGTTCTATATGGAAGTCGGTAAGGGGCTCATTGAGTTAGGGTCATAAGTCCGACTCCTGAAGACTTGGCCATCGCCACATAACTTTTTGTTTTATTTTCTTTCTTTTCTATTGGAGAACAATTGCAAGAATGATTAATTTGTTATTTTGAGAGCTTGTATTTTAATCGTTCGAAATAAATTTTTAAAATTGTTCGAAAATACAAAATGCAATCCAGCTATAATGTTTTTATTTTATTGTCGCAAAACTGCATGTACATGCTCAGTACCTTTGCGCATACCTTGTTCAGGCCTGTTCCCTGATCCCAGACATCAGCGCGGGGGGGGGGTGTCTTTAAATCCTATAGTGGATTATTTATATTTTCATATTTTTTGTATATGCACAGTTGTAGCAGTCAACCCCCGTATATGAAGCGACTTCGCGCTGCAGCTTGTGCCGACATGACAGAATGTACAATCTTTTGGCATGGGTTTCAGAACCGGATTTTAGCTTCGAGGAGTTTTAAGCAGCGATGTTTATTATTTACATTCTCCACTTTGTTCTTATTCTCTCTTCCTTTCCGATTCCTTCTCCATTCTTCGGAACACTGATACCTAGGGCCTACGAAATACTTAATCCGGGCCTGACTTGAAAGTTACTCGATCTTAATGAACTTGAACACACTTTTTATTCTTCACCATACTGAAAACACTAATTTTGCAATCTTGCATGATCTTATGAGTGGGTTTCTCAGAACGCAGTTGACGCCCGTTTCGTTCAGAGTGGCTTTCCAGTGTCGCACCAATCCAAATGCTGTATGGGCTTAAAGATGAATTAAATGTCTGCACGCAGAAGTACAACTTTCGACGCAGTCGAACTTTTCATATAATACATTTGCGTTGTTCATGTAATTATCACTCGACGGAATTTATGGGTGCAACTTTTCGGTCAAAAGCGCGCAAGCCGGTCTCAGACTTTTAATCTACGGCGCGAGTTTTGAGGCTGTGATCGGACCAGGTAGACCTGAATCACCTTTATAATGATGTAATCACCCCTTGTTTACATGTGCGATTTCCTATGAGAGCGAGGCAGGGACAGAACCGCCAAACTCACATAAGACAGCGCACGTGTCAACAAAGCATGACGTCATTATGCTCTAGGTCAATAGACCGGGTGAAATTTGTTTTCAAAATTGGATATTGTGGTCACGTGATGCCAACGTTAGGCAAACGGTTCTCTTCTGCACTGCGTGTATATCTCTTGAAATATGGATGTTTAAAAGACTAGTGTTGACATAGGCCCATACTGTTTAATGTGGGCCAAATGACATGCAAAATATGCCACGTCATAGACCACATGGTCTATTTTAAAGGAGACGCTAACCTGGCAATGTTGATGATGAAGACAATGATGAAGATGGTGGTGATATCAACGATGTTGCTGGTGGTGATGGTGATATCGATGGCGTTGATGGTGTTGATAGGGATGAAGGAAACGACGATGACGACGATGGTGATGGGGATTGGAAAACAGGTTCTTCACAGTGACTGCCGACGAATCGACCAGCATCGCACAGACACCCGTACCCATGCCTGTTGTATACGCACGTGCCGCCGTTGCCGCACGGGTTGGACATACACCAATTCATGTCCTCTACAAATAAACACAAAATTGAAAGGAAATATGACAAAAGCTAATGACACTTTGTAATTGGATTCCCTCAACGGCAGATCCAGTGAGGGGCAGGGAACAGGGGCCGTGCCCGCCTCCCCAAAGAATCATTTTGGTTTTTAAGTGAGGTCGCAAAAAAGGCAGCCTCTGCGTACACCACCTTAATTCTTTGCTCAACAAAATGAGGTTAAAGTGGTCAGAAAAGTGGTGTTGTATACGCACGTGCCGCCATTGCCGCACATGTCCTCTACAAATAAACACAACATTGAAAGGAAATATGACAAAAGCTAATGACACTTTGTGTTCACGCAAAGTGACTGTGTGTACAATTGTAATTGGACTCCCTCAACGGCGGATCCAGGGAGGGGGCGGGGAACAGGAGCCATGCCCCCCCCATAAAGAATCATTTCTGTTTTTAAGTGAGGTCGCAAAAAAAGGCTTAATTCTTTGTTCAACAAAATGAGGTTAAAGTGGTCAGAAATAAACATTGTCTCAGATCGCACAACAGAGAATCTGGAATCTAACAGAAATAACAAAAACAAAACAATTCCCGGCCCTTAAGCGGGCCCCGAACTCCACGCCGTAAATTGTTCTGACATTTTTTGGGGGAACAACAATAGTTGTTGGCCCCCAACAAATAGTGTTCTGGATCCGCTCTTGGATTGCCTTTTCCAAAGTACTATCGGTTGGTTAGTGAATTCCAGTTGTAAATTCCTGTAGAATAGAACGTGTCATTTGAAACTGGAATGAAACTGAACAACCACAATTTAACGCTGTTACCAAAATGTTTTTGATTTAACAATTTGGTTTAACGAAATATCCCCCCCCCAGTTTTAATATTGAAATCCCTATTTTTAATATAACTGCACTTCTTTAACACCGGAAGTAAAACAGGGTGGGGGAAAATCTTAACAAAAACGTAAACTGTTCTAAATTGATAAATTTATATTTGAAATGACAGCAAGCCAGACAAAATAATTTCACAGGGTGTCTAGTACCAGTACCGATCTTTAATGATTCGGTGGGTTACTTTTGGGATTAATGCAAATGATTCTATATACCTTAAATGGCCTAATTGGCGATACTGATCATACTAAAGAGCGAATATAACTCACCTGTTATGACCGGAGCCGTGCAGACGTGGCCGCATCCATTGGAACAGCATTTCAGCGGGGCTGGGCAGGACGAATCGTCCGTGCAATCCTCGACGCACAGCCCGACCCTGTCATCTGTGATATCAGGGCAGAAACCCAACCTCCCTGTTCAAAAGGATAAGAACATCGTGCTGTCATATTACTTGCACTATTCAAGTTTTCGAAGCGTGGGTTGGGGATGGGTGGGGGAGAGGTGGAGGAGGGGGGGGGGTTAGTTCGAGGATCAGACATTTACGTAGGCAGAGCAACGGTACAAACGTGGGATACACCGCAGCATGGTCTTTAGAGACTGTGACGTAATTTCAATGATTCAATCACAACATGTGGTCTAAGCTGTGGATTGGCTGATTTTTATGAAAGGTTTTGTCATACACCAACGGATTACCGAAGAACAGATAGAAGGCGCCCGCTGAAAATTCAGAATCCCGAGGTCAAGACGCAGCTTTTTGCATAATTAATTGCCAAAACGGCTCGCTTATCATAGACCCTTGCTGTGCAAGAAAATATTCCATAGACCTTTTGCAGGGTGAATCAGGCGCTAAACGTACAACAAAATTACGATATTCAAATTTGAAAAAAAAAACACACTAACCTCCGCTGTTCTGCCTTTGCTCACAGCGTGGCCCGCTGTAACCGGCCGGGCACAGGCAGCCGTACCCCTCGTATTCGTTGTAGCACGTACCGCCATTGCTGCACGGGCTGGAAACACACTGGTCTGCATTCACTGGAATAACAACAAGTAGTACATTTATTATTGACTAATTACTTATTTTCGAAAAGCAAAACCCGTGCATACTTGCCTGTTGATAAACGTTCGTATTCGTTGAAGTCGGACGAATTGTCAGCTTGAAGAGGGGGGAAAAGAATTTTAAACGAATTTACGACACGCGGAAACTTCACGAAGGCGCAAAAGAAAGACACGTTGGTTTGATAACAGCAAGTAACGACGAGTATTATTCAAGACGCAATAGTTGACACGATGTTGTCAAGAAAAATGGGAAAGGTGTCCAGTGCGTATATCTGTGAATTTTAAACGATTTGGCATATTTCCGCAGCGTCTATCGTTCGAAACCTATAGAACTGACTACAAATCTTCAAAAATGTGAACTTACAAATTTCCCCTGCTGTAAGAATTACAGCAATCATCAGACAAATTGCCGCATCCATCTTGCGAACACAAGTTCTCCTTCTAAAAGTTCTTCCACAAAACCAAACCAAGAACGCTAAACTCAGTTCTTTTCTTGTTAACTGTTTGTAATATAAGTGATCATGACATAGTCCAGTCCCAAACTGTACGCCAAGTACTGCCGAACACCAGTTGCACGCGATTACTATCAAAACAGACGATGCTTGACGCATACTTTATTTACGGCGGGTTTCTTTGTGTGGGTGCAGTGTACCGAATCGTTGCCTTGGGTTCGGTGACAAGTTTATGAATGACTAATACGTCATAGTAAGCGCCATTCATCGAGTTGCATGCCTTATAAGGTCATTCTGGAGCTCTGGGTCACTGTCCCATTCAAACTGGTTGCCATACCGATTTCGCTGTGACACACCTGTGAATATAGTTTGAATTTGTGTTGATCGGCTTTTTGATCAAAACTACGAGTCATGAATGAGTTGCCTAATTTCATTTCGATATTTTTATATATATATTTTTTTATATATGTTATTATTATTCCTTATTGGAAAAGTTAAAGCAACGCACTCGTTTTCTAGTCGATAAAGCAAGAAACATCCGCTATATGGAATGACAATTCCGTTGAATGGTTGGTTGTAAAGTAACAAAAAAGTTGGGAAAATAGTCCAACAACAACAATATAGGTTTTCCCTGCTATTTTAAAATATTTTATCATTAAAATTCATCAACTCTATCATTCGATTTCGTCCACGAAAAAATAATATCACACGCTTTTAAGAAAACCAATTTAGTGATTTACCGTTCAATTTCAAAGCTTAGTCATCCTCTTTAGTCACCGGGGCGAGAATATTCGTCATTGCATGCAGGTCAAATTCGTCCAAGCTAATGCCGAATGGCAGGATTTAGAGATCCTACTCGTCCTATATAAATCAATTAGACGAATTGCATTTCTGAATAACAAGGTTCGACCTAGACGAGATGAAATCGAATAGTCCAGAACGAAAACGTGTGCTCATTGTTTGAATTTGCTTCAACTGAATTTGAAATTGTCTGACAAAAGAAAAAAATAAACATCGGAAGTGCACTAAATCGATATTGGTGGACACATTTAAATATTAGAAATTGTGAATTCGAATGATAAACGTTTAAAAATAGTTGGGAAAACCTATAGTATAACCAAAAAATGCGGTATTTTTACTTAGGACTTAGAATCAATTGAATGTTATCCAACACTGCAGTAAATCAACTTTCTTTGGGGTCAGTGTTACACAAGCATTACTGTTGAAGAATGGCGAAGGTCAAAGGGTAAGTTATAGCATGGGGGGGGTGCAGTGACTGGTAAAAAGATAAACAATCAGCTTGTTTTTTGAAAATACTATGTACATTTATTGCCAATTGATTAGCTCCCTTTATTGAAAGCTCTAGGTAAGCACTCGGTTAGTCTTGGGTAAGCAGTGGTAAGCACCTAGTTATCCTGCAAGTGAGCCCTGTCGTTTTGAAAGACAGAACATGGAATAAAGCAAGCACGATCGGACATATCTGGGAAGCTGCGGGCCAACGAATTCGTGTTCATGCATGATTCATGTGGATGTGCAATGTAATTCCTGGACGGAGTAGTGTTTTGATTAAAAAAAACAAAACAACAACAACCCTGACCCCATGAAGACCTTTAACCCCAGTTTGGTCATGTGACATGCTGAGGTTGGGCTACTGATAATTTTCACAAAGTTCGGTGAAAAATCTGTTAAAACATGTAGGGGCAACAGACAATGTCAACGTTTGTAACTATTAGCTAACACTAACGAAAGAACGCTCACCTTTTCTTGTGATCCGTGGACAGAACTTTAAAAGAGTGGTTGCGTTTAAAATTTCGAAACTTAAAAAGTACCACGGGCGGATCGGGGGGGGGGGGGCAAGGGGGCGAGCCCCCCAAAAACGAAACCAATTTTTTTATTTTTTTTATGTGACATCGCAATAAAGGCAGGCGATGAGTACACCACCATCTTTTCCTAAAAAAAACATTGGTTAAGGTGGTCAGAAATTGCCTCAGATCGCACCAGAGAACATCTAGAATCCAAAACTTTTTCGGGGCCCTTAAGCGGGCCCCGAACCCCACCCCGTAATGTTTTGGACCCACTTTTTTGGGCGACCAACATTTTTTGTGCCCCCCCCCAAAAAAAAATTGTGTTCTGGAACCGCCCTTGAAAAGTACATGAGTGATTTGAATGAGTACTAAAGAAAGCCTATGCATAGGACTTTCATATCCTGGATTTTGAAAGTGCTACATGCATACTTCACTGAAACAGAAGTCCCGACATTTGGGTTTCGCTTTTTTTTTGGACTCACCCTGTATACTCCGGTGTATAACTTGATGTACAGACCTACTTTTGATAATACAACAATGTAGGCAACCCGGCATGCAAAGGCAAAACTCAGAAATGCAGGACTTCTAACGGGAATTAATAATAATGCCCATTTGATAATTAGGTACCAATCATCTCAATCACACTTTGAAACTGCATGTTGTAAACTCTAATACGAAAGGTTAAAAATGCTGCCATCGTCGTTATCTGGCACATTTTTCCATCGCAAAGTTGACTCTCCAATCGGCTACTGGTGGTTCGCAAAATCATGCGCTTCCGAAATCCTTCCAAGCGGTGGCGCGCTCTTCTTGAGCCATTCATGATGAAATCCAAAACAGCCCGAATGCTCTCACGGAGGATGTGTGTAATAAGTAACCCGTGAATTAAATGGGTATCTTTGGTCAGTAGGGTCACTTTGGTCAGCACCTATAATTTAGTTACAAGTGAATATAAATATTTGTGAAACAAGATTCGTCAGTAAATTTGATATATAATTAGTTTCAGAAAATGCCACTGCAAAGTGTAATGCACTTGTTGATTTGAAGTGGATAATTATGTAATGTCAAATTACAAGAAGTCAAAGGTCAGAGGTCAAGGAACAACAAGGAATCACAATCAAAGAGGCACTCAGATTTTTTTTTAGAAATATAGGGTCAAATGTTCCTTTTTTCTATATTTCACCTGGAACGAAACAATTAAAAAAAAATGTTGAAATGTTTTGTCCAGCGGTATTATTAGGGCTGGCCAACTTGCCCCAAAACGAAATTAATTTTTGTCACATCTGTTTTTGGGCCCCACCCCTTTGTTAAATATTATGTTTTGACACCAAACAACACCAAAGTGTAGAGTTTAGTCTAAATGTTTTAAATACAGGTTTTCCCGGCTATTTTAAACCGGTTATCATTCGAACTCACCGTTTCAAATATTCAAATTCGTCCATCACTATCAATTTAATGCACTTCCGTTTTGTCTTTTGTCAGACAATTTCAAATTCAGTTCAAGCAAATTCAAACAACGACCACACGTTTTCGTCCCGGAGTATTCGGTTTCATCTCGCCTACGCCAAACCTTTTTTATTCAGTAATCAAATTCATCTAAATGATTTATATAAGACGAATTCAATCTCCGAGTGCTGCAACAGCTTAGACGAATTTGATCTGTAATGACGAATATTCTCGACCCGGTGACTATAAAGAGGGTGACCAAACTTAGAAATTGAATGGCAAATGACTAAATTGTTTTTTTTAAAGCCTGTGAGTTTTTTAGGACGAAAAAGAATGTTAGAGATGGTGACTTTGAATAACAAATGTTTCAAAATAGCTGGGAAACTTATATTGGGGGCAATCCAATTTGCCAAGTTTGTTATAAAAGCAATAGTTAAATATGCCTAAAAATGATCGAGGTTACCCCATTCGACTGCAGTTTTATAACCCATGAATTCAAGAGTAAGTGTCCTTATATATTAACTTTCTCACTTTGGAAGAAATAAGATATTGATAGCGACGGTGGCCAATATGACCCAGTGGCTGGGCATGTGTTTAGATGCATCTGGTGAGCTTAAAATGAACAAAGTCTGAAAGCTTAAGGTCAAAGATAAGGTACGATCCATTACCTGTGTGTTGTGAGCGCACTCAACTACGTAGTTGTTATTGATACACAAAGTTCAATGGGTTTAATATTTAACTATCAACGCATCATAATGACGATTCGTTGAATAGCAAGCACCATTGTAACTCGCATCCGCCCGCTGCCTGCGGACGTTTTAAGCATAATGTGTACACTGTGAGCCGATTTCGCCATCTGATCGACAGCGTGACAATCAAATTTGAACTGTTACTTCATTATCTGGTGATATGTCTGAGCGTGCCCGTAGACTTGCTTAGCTGCACTCACACTAAACTAACACCGTGTAGAACCAAGCATGCCTGGCAAGAGACGTGGCCAGCGGGGAGGACCACGGGTAAGATACACATAGAGACACATAAATATCGTTTTTAATAGCAGAATTAGGTTTCTTACCTTCATTCAGAGAATGAAAGGGTACAAGCAGAATGTAGTAATACGTGTAGTAATATATGTCCAAAGAAAATAGCTAGACAACCCGATCAAGGCTTTATTAGCTAAGAATACACTGTTGCAACTTAACTGGAATTAATTTAGCGCAAATGACGTTTCAGCTCATGTTTTAAAAATAATCATGAGGTTTCATTTTTATTTAGAGAAAAACGGCAACTAGAAAAGGAAAGACTGCAACTGTCGAGTCGATGAATGACGAACCAACAGTTGGTCCAACGATGCCTTGCAAGAGACCTAGATGTTGCAAGTGTAGGGGAATCAGGCAACAGGTAAGACAGATAATTACCCAAATATATGAATATATGAAAGAATGCCTAATAAGCTTTATCAAGCGTCAATGAAATAGATCCCTGAAATAAATCCTTTTTAGTTTTGACATACTATTACACAGTATGTCCCAAAAAGTGTCAGTCAGAGTGTTTTTAAAATAATAACACAAACATGAGGTCAATTGTAAAAAGCCTGCATGTTCTGAAAAAAAAAGGCTGATGTGGTTTTGGAGATGAATCATTTGCCCTTGAGCATTAAACTGAGGTCTTGTCATGATGGTTGATAAAGTAAGTAAATGATTCAAATTCCAACCGAAGCACTTTTTATATCATGCAGGATTTTACACAGCTTACATTACACAGCACTGAAATTGATTAAGGCAACGAATTTGGTCACAGGGTCCAAATATGTTGTTGTGATCAATTGATAATTACG